CCCCCCCTACGATATAAGCCCTCCATTTCTATGCCCACCCAAAACCCCTTATGAAGTTGTATAAGCCCAGGGCTTTAAGGTGGGGTTTTACGGTATTCAAGCTAGATCTACACTGCATCTCGGGTTTGCATAACTGTCTGGAACTATCCTAACTCCCCTCGTGTTTAGATGAGACTATGTAAATACTCGCCAATGCACATTCGTGGTCCCACTCCCCATGGGAGAATAGCAAAAGGCTGGATCTTGCCCATGTCCTCATTCAGCCAACGCTCAGGTTTAAAGTCATCAGGGTCTTTGAACAGGCTTTCTGAGTATCCAGTCATATAATCTGGATATTTAACAGCAGTCTGAAAAACAAAATTAAAAGTTATCATGTCATTTATACCTAATTAACAATTAGATTATGAGCTCGAGATTTATGGATCTTCCCCAGTTTTACTACTTTTCTTCGTCATGATAAAAAATTTTATTTCTTTTACAAGGTTTTGCTCAACCGTTTTCAATTTAACTTCTTGATGTTCAGTGTGAAACTCAACGTTATTGACTTTATAGTGACATTAATTGGTAACATTCTGTGTCTTTTTGCAGTTTCGGGATGGCAATGCCCATATATTTCTTGCATCTCTACAGTAGAGAGTTCATCAATCTGCTTTTTTTCAGCCATTTTTCATACAGAACTTTCGCCTACAACCCAAAAGTTTGAAGCTTAGCGACACTTCCTGCATTCATTTTCCACATAAGGTCAAACAAACATAGGTATAATGACTGATAACCACGATTCGGGAACCAATAAGAAAGCTGGAAATACATTTTCCGAGGTTGAAAATTTAATAAATGGACATAAGCTTTAATAGATATCTTCACTGACTTCATTCATCGAAATTGTTTCAAGTACTGATTTTCCAAATTGCTTGGCTAAAAAGGTGGCCAATCTAACTAGTTTAATATCATGTCATAGAGCAGATCACTCATCTGCCCAATTGCTGGAAGGTATTTAAGCACTTTAACATTACGTGATACACTTACACCTGCTGGAACTTGATAACCAGATAAAACCACATCCTGAGTAACAACACGGGACCAACCAGCAGAAATAGAATGCAGTCTGCAGCCAAATGAAAATCAAAAATACAGGTGTGATAGACAAAATGAAATGGTTATAATTAAGATAAATGATGTGTTATAATTTGTAATTTTTGTGACATTATAGCTTTAGAAGTAGTTTATTTTGCTAAAATGCCAAGAAAGGTGGATGGTTACAATACAATCTGACATAATATTAAGGGAAATGTAGTTTGAAGAATTTCTAAGAATGCAACAGATTGTACATAAAGTAAAATTAAAGCCCCAGAACTGAGTGCTTTTCAAATGACATTTAAAACTCGGGCAACCCTAATAAACGGAACCCAGAATCTAAAACCAGTAACCAGGAACCAGATTATTGATACTGAGAATGACCACACAAGCCTGCAAATAATTTTTGTCTATAGGCTGGT